TTGGCTTATGCGCATGCCCGGAATTGAAATTTTGCTCAATTTTGTACCTAATCCTCGAAAAATCTCTCCTTTTAGTAAAAAAAGCTTTCTTAGCAAAACGTAGGCCTATTTAGCGTCATGGCAGCTATAAACCTGACTAAACGGTTAAAACGGTATTTTTTGGCGAAAGTTTGGTATTCAAAGGGTTAATTGGACAGTATATTGACCCGCTTCTTCAACAATGTCTGTACATCTGAGACGATGACGCCAACTGATTCTCGTACTCTCTACAGAGGTTAGAACCAGGAAGATGACATGCTTGCCGCAGAGAACATCATTTTAAATCCTCAGTGCCAACCATCCATTCTGTGACGCCAACAACAAGGCTGCTTCGCAGCAGTCATTTAGTAGACAACAAAACTGAACAATCGCGCTAACAACCAAAGAAAGACAATGTTCTTAAATTATTTTTTGCCCTCGAAAGATGGCTTCGATCAGAAAAATTCTCTGGCAAACCTGTTCTAGCTAGCCTGTGAACAGGCTCCGTCAGGAAGGAAAGGCCCGGTGAGAAGGAACTGGTTGGAAGGGAATGGCCGCGAGTAGAGCCTAACTCTCTCTTACTCGGACGATTTCATTCACATCGTTATACTACTGCAGGATTCAAACAACTCGCAATATTTATGTAAAATCCAGCCTCCTTATTAACGTAAAGGTAAAGTCTGCATACAAGCAAAGTGGTTTGCCAGGGCCAGGGCTCGAACCCTGATCGTTTGATTCATAGACGAGCGCAATAACCACGAGGCCACTGCGTTTCTTTCTTAGAAACACCAAAAAGACAGAACTGAGCAGTCCGTATTAGAGAGGTGTCGTTATTTTAGAGGTAGAAATTATGTGAATTTTGATATTTCTGGGTACAAAAGATCTGTCCGTTGTAGAGAGTTGTCCGTAAGAAGAGATTAGACAGTACCAATAGTCGAGGCTAAAATAATCTACTAAATGGCTCAAGTAACCTCCCTGAATAAATAGCACTGCTTAAGCGATCTGTGTACATAATAATTCTTAAAAGGATTCTGAAAACAGATCTTCAAGGTGTTCAAAGAAGAAGAACAACAAAATATTATACCGCCTTCTGCGATCTTCTTCAATGAAATGTCTCTGCAAGACCTGCAAGAATGAAAGAATCCAAACATGCATCTTAATGAAGACGCTGTTATTCTTGCAGAGCCATTTCAGCTGAAGAAGACCGCCGAGTGCGCGGTCGAAAATTTAGTTGTTGTTCTGTTTTGAACATTTTTTAGATCTGTTTTGAATGTTTTTAAGAATTGTTTCCCTGTTTTAAGTAAACATCTTCTTTGCCCGCCATTTGGTGATTTTACTAATAAAATATTGACCGAATTAAATTATCTTTACCTATAAACAATGTTTCAGGTGCCCGCGGCAATGGATATTTTTTTCTTCACGTTAATCTTTTCAATCTAATTCAGAAATAACTACAGGCAAATCCTTGTCCGTAGTCAATTCAATTTCCATTCACTTGGATTAAAATTAATTGTCTTTTTCTTGTCGAAGAAAGATTTTCATAAACTCACAAACTCTGAACGTAACAAGCAGAAATTGTCACTTAATGTGTAAAAAAAGGGAGGGTACCATAGCTGTAAAGGAAAAGAAGTCGATGGTGGCGACACGACTTAGATAACAAGTCTTTACCAGGTTACAGATGAAGAATATACACGGCAAAGTTCCACCAAGTTCCGCTCGACTATCCATTTGTTTCTCGATTTAAAGTTTCATGGATTGTATGGTATGGCTTTTGACTCGATCTGCATATTATTCTGTTTATAATCATTGAAAGTTTGATACGACAACTTTTCTTCTACAGTTTCTTGTTCGTCATCATGTGAGGCTCGAATATTATAGGTATCATCGAAAGAAAGCAGATGTGAAAGGCAAAGTCCTCGGTTAACAACTATAATTTTTTTTTACATGGTCACAACTCTGTCGTCAACGACATGTCTTCATGGACTCTGGACAAACCCGTTACTGCCCAAGTTATTTTTATTCTGCTATAGTCTGCGTTGTATTATTTCACATTACCTGCATGTGTTATCCTAATCCTAAGATTAAGCAGAAATGTTGTAGGAAAGCTAGGACTGCTTTGGCCAATTTGGTGTGGACTGGGAGGCTGTAAATTACCAGATCCAATGCACTTTCATATTTATTATTATTATGACCCAGTACAGTTAAGCAAAATCAGTCATTAGTGTCATGAAAAGAACATTCTGACCTTTCCAACACTCATGTAAGTAAAGGAAAATAAACCTTGAACGCTTTAACAGGCAGATAACAGCTTAATAGTGGACTATAAATAATTAATCAGATGCAAGATTGTTTTTATTTGTAGCCCTAAGGGAAACAAGTTTTTGTTTGACGCCTAAGATAATTCCACTACAAAAAAAAAAAAAAAAAAAAAAAA